GGAAAAGGCGCATTCACACATTGCGGATGGGACTGCAGAATGGTGCAGCCAATCTGTCAAGCAGTATGGAGATTCCTTGGAAAATTTGGAATGGCATCACCATTTGACCCAGCTACACCACTCCTTGGTCTATATCCAAAGGACTTAAAAACAGCATACTACAGGGACACAGCCACATCATTGTTTACTGCCGCACAATTCACAATAGCTAAACTGTGGAACCAAACTAGATGCCTGTCAGTAGATAAATGGATAGGAAAACTTTGGTATTAACACACAATGGAACATTACTCAGCATTAAAAGAGAATAAAATCATGGCATTTGCGGTTAATGGATGGAGTTGGAGAATATAATGCTAAGTGAAGTTAGCCAATCCCTAACTGATGAATGTTTTCTCTGATATAAGGAGGCTGATTCATAATGGGGTTGGGAGGGGAAGCATGTGAAGATTAGGTGAACTCTAGATAGGGCAAAGGGGAGGGAGGGGAAGGAAGGGGGAAAGGGGTGTAAAAAAGATGGAGGAATAAAATGGACATCATTTCYCTAAGTATATGTATGAAGACATGGTTGGTGTGAATATACTTTGTATACAACTAGAGATATGAAAAAATGTGTTCTATATGTGTAATGTGAATTGTAATGCATTCTTCCGTCACATATAACAAATTAGGATTAAAAAAATTTTAAAAAAGAAAGCTTTCATTAACCCAAAATTAGATTAAGATTTATTTCTATTTTCTTCTAGTTAAAAAAAATATTTTGATACAAATTTAAAAGGATGAAAGATAAATGAGTAAGAAGTGTTCAAAGGTTTGGAGTGAACATAAATTATCATGATATGTATTATGTAAAATATTATAATAATATTTGACATACATATTAAATATGCTCATGTTTGTACTTTTTCTTAAATAAAATACATTTTGTACTTTTACTTAAAATTGATTAAATTTTCAGTAATATAAAAAGCAAAGATGATAGTATAGCCATGTAAGCATCACTGAGATCAACCAAGGAAACACTGAAGATAAAACTGGGACCACTAGTGTACTTCTGCCCAGTTCTATTACTTTTTCTTTCTGCCCTCAGGTAATCTCTGGTAAGGATTTATTTTTACTGAGGATGTTCTTTCCACATAGGTTTGTATTGCAAAGCAATGTTTCCTTTTCTAGTTCAGAAATCAAGTAATTATGCATTTTTGTCTGTGATTATGTTTTGTATATTTTACTATTAAACTTAATTAGAATGAACAAATAATATTATACCACATTTTAAAAAAAAWWTTTTTCTCTTCGGTTCATGGAGAATGGAATCCACCCCCTTTTTTTTTTYCATTCCAGATTTGTCACTCTTATTTTATTTCCCTGTAACCTGCAAATCTAAAACCAAAATGTGGTATACGATGAATATTTTAGATAACAATGTTAGCATATGTCCCACATGTCTCTCATTGTATCTGTATAAAATTGAGACATTCATTTAAATACCATTGTTTCCATAACCTATGCATGTTATATTTGATATATGTAGATATTTGAAGCAAAATATATTGTAGATATAGTATCTTTCACTGACTGAAACTTAAAGTATTTTAGCAGTAACAGCAAGAACATAATGAATCTTGAGTTTATAATGTGAGTTGGTAGAAAATTAAGGCTCTGCATAGTTTCTGAATAAATGTGTTTCGAGAAATATAAAAAAATATTTTTTAAAAATTGAATTCCCCATCTATTAGGTAGAAAATCCCAATTAAATTCATGGGCCTCTCCTTGGGTTAGGAAGGATCTTTCATAATCCCTGTTTTGAAGATATAGGCACTCATCCCAGATCCCTCCTTCAGATTTTGGGATCCTCTTCTCAGTCTCTGTGCCTTTTGCATCTCCATCATTTTGCTTTCACAGAGCCACACTGGAGCTTGAGTCTTTTCGGAGGCTTTCCTCATACCACTGAATATTTCCCTGTCTGAAATCTTGCGACCTGTTTCAGGAAACTTGAAACACAGGCATTGTACCATTGCTCTGGGTATTCCTTCTTAATCTTAATGGTTGACTTCCGGCCCTGAGGTTTTGGTCTCAGATTGGTTTAGGGAGTTTAGTCACATAAAAGCCGACGACTCTCAAATCCTAAATCCAGTACCAGACCCATATTTGGAGCATGGTTAAAAAGAGAACGTCCAGTAGCTCTTAAATCTAATAGCTCATTGGATACATGTCAGGAGCTTTTGAAACTAGAGTGGCTCCCACTTCTAACTCTGCAGCATCAGAATTTATCTTTTTGACAGTCGTGGGAGATCAAGAGTAAATTTTCGAATTCCTCGCTGATGAACCTGGGGCTGGCCCCGCTTCAACCTCCTTTTCCATGTAAGTCTCCCAATTATTTTTCCAGTAGTCAGTCCSCCCTTCTTGGTCTCCTTCCTTTGGCCTTGCCCTCACCTTCCAGTTTGTCGCTGCAGCTGCCTGCCAGCCTTTAGGCGCCCTTTACCTGGCCTGCTCCCGGCTCCCAGCCCCGCCCCTCAGTTCCGCGTCCCCTGCGACCGCCGGCTCCTAACCTTCTACCGCCCGCCCCTTGCTCTCGGCTYGCAGCTACCACCACTGAGCCACGCCCCCTCCCTTCCAGCCCGGTTCCCACCTTCCAACCCCGCCTATCTCCTGGCCTAGTCTCTGCTTTGGCTTCTCTTCTCGGCTTCCCGCCCCTAGTCTTATGTCCCTCTTCACCATCCGTAAAATACTTAACCCTCACATTTTGTCGTAATAGTTCTTACGTTTACTCTGCGCCGGAAGGAGCSTTAGAGTGCTTTTGCTAGTATGGCGGCGGTGGATATCCGAGGTGATTTATCCCGTTATACTTTTTTCCCTGATTGTGGTCTGATTTGGGGGTTTGTAGCTCGCGGGGAATGTTTAGATTCCTTGGTCAGGTCCCTCAGGTTCTTTTGGATCATTTTTATGGACGACCCAAGGCTCTAATCTGGCGAAAAGTTAAGAAGAGTTTTCCCTTAGTTCTTGACGAGTCTCTTAAAAGCGTTGAAGGGGAGGGATTTGAAGCAACCATAGGTTTTGAGCCTTCAGAACTGCTGTACTGTTCTACACTTCTATCTCTGCAGCAATACTGGGGCTGTTATATCGGGGCGAAGAGGTGGCCTCTGGGCAGAGGGGAATGGTATAATCAGCCGACTTGATATGATTGATATCTTGGGGGCTTGTCCTGAGGTCACCTTATTTTTCCCCCAGTTCTTTTTATCGGTGCATTATAATTGTACATAATGGTGGGATTTGTTGTTACATATTTGTTATGCACAGAKTATAACAATATAATTTGGCTAATATGACTCCCCGACACTTCCTCCTGCCTCCCCGCCTCCTACTCTCTTGTTACCTTCCTCTGTTCTACTGATCTCCCGATTTTCATGAGATTCTCTCCCCTCTTTTCCTTTTTCCTCTTTTGCTTCCACATATGAGAGAGAACATA